TTGTTTTCTTGATGTTCAGCATTAAGCCTGCCTTTGCACTTTTTTCTTTGATGTTCCTTAGAAGTTGTTCCAGGTCTGTGAGGTTTTCTGCTAGTACTATGGTGTCATCTGCATAACTTAGATGGTTGATATTCCTTATTCCTATTTTGATTCCTCCCTCTTCTGTGTCCAAACCTGTTTTTCTTATATTATGTTCTGTATACAAGTTGAACAGATAGGGTGATAGGATGCAGCTTCGTCTACCCCTTTACCAACTGGGAACCATTCTGTTTTTCCGTCCTCTGTTCTGATATACACTTGATATACATTTGATAAATAACGGGATTTTAGATTCATAGAGTTGGAAGGACCTCAAGGGCCCTCCTGTCCAATCTCCTGTCTTGGTTAATGCACTTCAGGTGTTAATCTGGATCTATTTTGAGTACAACTTTTGAGGTCAGAAAGAATACCTTTAGTGGATTCACTGACCCCACTTTCCTATGCACCAGCCACTGTCCAATGCTCAAACCATCCTGAGGCGCAGTATTGCAGCCACAAAGTTGTGAGTTTGATCCCAGGGCTCCAGGGTTGACTCCGCACTGCATCCTTCTATAGTTGCTAAAATGAGTACCCAGCTTGTTGGTTTATACATTGTAAACCGCTTAGAGACTACTGAGTTTTGTATTAAGTGGCACAGAAATGTAAATGCTATTGCTATTGCTAGTAGTCATTCTGGAGGCAGGCAGGCATCCCTCTTGCCATTTGCAGAGCTATATCATACATAGAATTATCAAATTTGGAAGGGATCTCAAGGGCCAACTAATCCAACCGGCTTCTGCCAGTGCAGGAAATCCACAGCCAAAGGACCCCCGACTGGCGGCCATCCGATCTCTACTCAGAAATCTCCCACAAAGAAGAGTCGGTCACTTTCCAAAGGAGTCCATTCTACAGTCAAACACCTCTTAATGTTAGGGAGTTACTTCTAACATTTAGTTGGGACCTCTTTTCTTGTCACTTAAACTCATAGGTTTGGGTTTTGCCATCTGGAGCATCAGAAAACAAGCTGTTTTTCATTTTTGTTCTGTGGCAGCATTCAGCGAAATGCCTTGAAGATGTTCTGCAGAGATGCATGGCGGCGGGTGTTGCTTGGCTCTGCGTAAGATTATGGCCATAAATGTTTTACTCCTCCAACTGGGTTGCCAGCCCACTGTTCTCTATAGCCCCAAAGAGAGCCTGGCATGGCATGGGGCTGGCAGCCATGCTTGCCAAGAAACCTCCATTGTTCCTCTTAGAAGGCATTAAAGGCCCCATCAGACACCAGGCACCACACACAAAACACCATCCTGGTGGCTGGATTATGATGCTTGCTGTTTTACAGAGCAAGAACACTTGCTAGCCAAGGAAACCAAATAAAGACATAAAGAAATAAAGGCAGGGAGGGGAGAGGAAGGGAGGGAGGGAAGAACAACATCCAGTGGCACCTTTCCAGAAAGGCAACAGAGAAAACCGAGAAAACTGGCCTGTGAAATTCACATGTTGTCAGCGCTGATCATTAACATGAGAAATGATTGGGAAGGGACAGACCCACAAGAAGCAGTGGGTTCAAATTGTAAGAGCAGCGATTCCACCTACACCTTAGGAAGAACCTCTTTACTATAAGAGCTGTTTGACAGTGGAATGGGGTGCCTTGGAGGGTGGAGGAGTCTTCTTCTTCTTTGCAGGTCTTTAAACCTCAAAAGAATGGGCATTTCCCAGGGGTGCTTTAGTTGTGCATCCCTGCATGGCAAGGGATTGGAGTAGATGACCTTTGCAGCCCCTTCTAACTCTGTGATCCTATGTTTCTAGCTATGGAGCCATAGCTGGGCATGGTGTATAGGTTCAAAGGCTGGAGTCCTGCTGGTGACAAGCACTGTGTAAGCACTTTCATACAGGTGGATGCACTTCCTAGGATGTTACACAAGAGTTGTGGTGGTACAAGCAGCATTCAAGTGGTGTAACTCTTTGTAAGCAGTTGTACTTTTCTAAATGATGCACAGGTACATTCTATTTTTAGCACACTTTGGGTGTTGCCATTGGGATTCTGGAATTTAATGGCTGGTATCATGCTGGTGGCATATGCCAGCCTAAGTGCTCTTAGACTGGAAGTTACATTTTTTTAGGCAGTTGCACAAGGGTTGCATGTGGGTTGTGGTTGTGTCTTGATTGTGGTTGCACAAGTGGACTTTTGTCAGTGCATGTGTTACATGAACACTTATAATGATCAAGGTATTGTAGGGGTCCACAGTTTGTCTCAAAGGCTATTCATCGCCACTCTGTGGGAGAATGATTCAGTATAATGCAGCTGGCATGACTGGTGCAGATCAGTATAGGACAGTGTAGTGCCCCCCCCCCCCGGCATAGTTACGTGCCCATAACTGTATGCAACACAATTCCTCCTTCAGATCTTGTCCAAACTTCAAAAAAAGGAGATATTCTCAGAAGGACCAGGTAGAATTTGAGAAACCACCCATAAGTTGTGCCACATGGAAAAGATAAGCTCTCCTAAGAATGGAGATGGCAGTCAAGAAATGAGAAGAAGATTAAGAATGGGAAGGGCAGCTATGAAAGAACTAGACCAGATCCTAAAAGTGTAAAGATATACAACAGAGCACTAAAGTCAGAATTGTCCATTCCACTGTATTCCCCATCATAGCGATGTGAGAGCTGGACAGTGAAGAAAGTGGATAAAAAGAAAATCAACTCCTGGGACGTTTTCTGCTAGTATTATGGTGTCATCTGCGTATCTTAGATTGCTGATATTCCTTCCTCCTATTTTCACTCCTCCTTCTTCCACATGTGTAAATTTCCTTCCACGTGTAGTTATACTTTTTGTTGGTCACTGTGTAACATCTGGATTCAGTGGAAGACTGAAGAAGCAGAGTTCACCATGCATTGCACATTGCAATGGTTCGCATTCAATTGTGCAGTTTTCAAATTCTTGAATACGCAATTGTTACATTACTCTCTGGGTATGTGTGAAGTTACACCCTGATCTCCTTGATGTAGGATCTGAGCCACAACACAAGACAAGGTTTTATTGGAAAGATGCAATATAAACTGAATCAGTTAAGCTGTCTTGGAAAGAATTATCCTTAAAAGGGGAAGGGGATGAGGGGTTTTGAATAGATTCCAGTTAAAATTTCTCATAAATCAATGCATGCAGATCAAGTCCTGATAAGAAATTCCAATCATGCCTCTTTGTTCTGCTTAGTTTTGGAGCCTGGGAGAGAATCTCAGCGGAGTAAGGGAATCCCTTTTCCCTCTCCAGAGCTCATCCTTTACAGGGATCGGGTTCCTGGAGGCTTCAAGAGTTTGCAATTTGTGGAGGAGGCTAATGGAGAAGCCTTCAGGGCCTCCTGGATAGTGAACCAAGTGTTCGCCTGAACCTCCCTGTTGTTTAGAGTGTGTATTGATCCCTTCACATTAAAGAACAAATGCAGAAACATGATTTTGCCTGCTAGCAATAACGGATTTCTGCTTCGGCTGTAGACAGAGAATTTGCAGGTGGGAAAAGCCTGGTGTTTAATTCTTTACCTCTTGTGTTCTGACATTTCTTTCCCCTCTTTAAGAACTTCTCTGGAATTCCACTCCCATTTGCTTCAAGTGGCATTTAGTAATGATAAAAGAAATACCACGCTACAGATGTCTAATAAATGTTTAGTATAATGAAGCCAAATGGAATGAAATTTCAGGCAACAAGAATGTCACATGAAACAAGAGAGAGAGTCATAGAATCATAGAACTGTAGCACTGAAAGGGACCCCAGGGGTCAGATAGTCCAACCCTTTGTCAGTGCAGGAATCCACTGCCAAAATGCCCTTGAGAAGTGGCCACCTAATCTCCTTTTTTTAAAAAAGGAAGAGCCCAGGACTGTAGCAGTACCATGGCACTTTTGAAGAGGAGTGCAAAAATAGATGTCCCCAAAGAGATGTGACCGAGAGACACCATTTTGTAGTGTCAGAAACTGGTACCAGAAAATCATGGCCACTGACCAACATGGAGTGGCCACCTTTCCCCTTGTGTTGTTATGGATCACTTGTAAGGAAGGATCTAATTAGGGGAATTTATGATTAGCTCAAATATGCAAGAGTAGGGTCCTAACAAAGCCCCATGGGACCAGGTACTGTTATGTATACCAGAGGACTAAGGAATCCCACAATGGATGACGCTGAGGCAGGCTTTTCCAATTAAAGTCTAAATATTTATTAAAAGGGGGAAAACTGTACGCACACAAATATGGCACTCACACACACAGCACACTTAGAAATAAGGACTGAAAGTGGGAATAGCTTGAGAGGGGCCATACTGAGGGAGTTACTCATTTCCGAAGGCTTCTCCGGGTTCGGCTGTGGATGTTGATGATAATGATGATGAAGCACGGCCACCAAAATGGGGGGAGAGGGATGGCCGAGGGAGCTATGATCAGAGCACAGAGCAACGTGGAGTCAGCATGCACTCTCAAGATAGCACATGGAGCCTAGAAATCCAAGGGTTCTTATAGGGAATTTCTGCCTTCTAGCTATAAGCCTAATGGCTGTCGGACAAAGGCGTTGATGGGTTTAGCTTTATCAACCTAGGTGTGAGCATAGTCTAAACAATGCATTTGGTTTCAAAACAAT